TACACTTTTATTCAAGTTACAAAAGTCAGATTAGTGCAATTTTGTTCAAAACTATTATGAATTTTCTCCTAGAGGGTTAAGAGTGCTGTATTTTGTTCCGAAAAATTTAGGAAATTCATAAACACAACTTGTTTCATTCACAGTATGCTAAAATCACTCCAAAATCAAAATTTGCAATTTTCTAAAATGTTTATTTGTAAAAGTTAAATAGATAAAACTTTTATTTCGTGAATAAATTTCAACGGAAGTTTTTTTTTTACACGAGTAATCTTGTGAAAATTTGTACAGAGAAACTCAATGAAGTTATTAATTGTATTTTCAGGTTGTTACAGGTTTTGTACTACTTCGTGTGTATGATTTATTTTTTTACGTAAAACAGTTTAGGATAAAGAGTAACTTATTCTTACATTATTGTACCTGAAGACAGTATTTCCTCTAGTTTTTTTTCCACAAATTTTTAAGACAATTTTATATGTTAATTCTAACTGTATTTGAACACTTTTAACTCAAAAATATTTTAGTATCAACATTTTGTCATATTCTGGTAATTATGTAGTGAAATTCATGAAGAAAAAAGTTAATATTTTCATTTCTGCACAGCTGCAAAACATTTTGCCTAAAATAAAACCTATTTGTCTATTTCTTTTCAGAATTTTTCCTTAATTTTTACTTAAAACCTATAATCTCTTCGAATATATTATCTATTTATTGATTTTCAAGCACTTTTCTTAGTTTTTATACAGGCCTTGGTTTAAACCTTAATATCATGGCACATCAAATGGTTTGATCATTTACTAATGAAACACAGCTTTGTTTGTTGATAAGCTCAAAATGCGCTATTTGTGCTGTGCCTACAAGTATCAAAACTATTTTTAGCAGTTTGAACCCTCATACCTATCACTGAACCACTGAGGGCAATACAACTTTGAAAACAGCTATAAAGAAAGTTTAAATACGATTGTATAGAGCAAGAATTAAATCACATACTAACGGAGTAAATACAGAGGTTTAATTGTTTTTTTTTTTATACTCCTGTAACATTATTTCTAATTCCTTTCATTTTGAATTGTAAAGTATTTAGATTATATCTGTTTGAAAGCTACAGAAATTTTTTCAATGAAAAGATAGATAACTTCAGATAATGGTAGCTATATAGTTCAGACATGGATTGAATAGGTAACAAATAAAATTTATTAAAAAGTAAAACCTACATAATTTTAAATAGAAAACCAAATATCAACAAGGCACTTTTATTAAGCCTTAAGCAATCTCATGTCATGACTTTTGTTTTGCACCATGTCTAGGTAAACTACTTGTATTTGATGATAAAACCTCCAAACATTGTATGTTTGTTATTGTGTTAAATTTTTAACAAATATGCTATTGTTTTTTGAGTTGCAAAGTTTGTAAACCTAGGTTGTTGTTGTTTTTTTATATTCACCAAATAAAACTGCCATCAAATTAGATGAGTTAACTAGCTAGTGAGTATGGTAGGCAATTTTTTATTCAATATTTGTATCCTATTCAAACAATAACTTGGTTAACTGACTACTTAATTTTGTAATTGCAATTGTGACATGTTTTAAATAAAAACATCATTACACTTATCTGAAAAACAAAGAATGGCAACTACATGGTGGTATTTAACTGACATTACGAATTCATTTGGCAAGTAGGAAACGTCCGTAAAACTACTTGAAAAAGTAGTTTTAAACAAAAAAATGTGCTTTTTGAAATGCACAAATGACAACCTTCAAGGAGTGTACCCGTGGAAACAAGAGTAATTCAAAAATTACTTAAAACCCCAACTCTCATTTTCCATACATTTTTTGTTTTTAAATCAATGGTACAATTTTGGTGTCTAGTTCGGACGTACTCATCTGGGCATGGTACAATTGAACTTAAATTTCTTTATATTAATGTATACTTATGTTTGTTAACATACTTATGTGATAAGAAATATTAAAAGTATTGATGGATAAAACTCAAATTTTTTTATCAAACAAATGTGGAACAGTGGCTACTTTCTCAGGTCACATAAAGTTGACAGGACTCATTTTTAGTCTTAATTTTCTAAAATTAGAGCATTTGTTTCATGAAAAATACACAGGGAACTTGTTAACTATGATATTGTATATTATGTACATGGTAAGGTACGTGTAAATATTTCCAAATTTAAGTGACAGTCATATGTTCTTCATGTTTGTTTATATGCCATTCTACTCTAGACAGATTGTAAAGATCTGGTAGTTGTACTGGTTTATCTTAATAACAAGTTTATTCATATATTTCTTTTATTCAATTGTTTTATTTATTTAAATACTGTTAAAAGCTTTAAAACTGCAAATATTACTAAATTACTGGTCTATTCTATGTAAAATCGTACAGCACAGACTTGCAAGCATTATTCAACAAGTGTGTGGAAACTTCTTGGCCACTAGAATTTATTTAAAAAATGATATGAATAAGTCCTATTAGAAAATTTGAAAACAATCATCCAAAACCTTAAAAGTATATGTGTATACATACACTTGTGTCTAGAATAAAATGTTCAACTGTCATAATTAATTCACATAATGTAGCTTATATACTAAAGAAAATGAATGGCTAATTTACAAAGTTCTGATATACTCTCCTAGTTGCAGCAGTTTGTTTTTGATACAACCTTTGGTCAGTAGAATACAATGAACCATTTAAACACACAAGTAAGACTTTCAACAATAAATTTTTCAAGTTTGCCCAGACTTTGACACCAAATGTCTCTCACTTCATGGCATGTTTTTCAACTCCATCTATATCATGAAGTGGATTAACATTTACAAAAACATAAACACTAGTTAATGTATGGTATTAAGTAAGAATTATAACAAGAACCTATACCATTCATCCTGAAATTACTTCCAGAAAAGCAAATAGAGCTCTGAATTCTTAGAATAATTATGCAGTGTAAATTGACTGAGCAAAAGGTTATTCTAAAGGTCTTCCCACAGCTGTATTAGTTGAACCTCATGTACTGTGAACTTGAACCCCACATTTAGAGTGTGGGAAGTTAAGTCACTATCTAAACATGGATGATACTGAAAAACCTTGAGATGCTTTTATTTACTATAATTTGTTTCATACTTGTAGATACAGCATGATGAAATAATGGATTTCCATATGAAACTCTCATTTCCACTATATCAATATATTTCCATCAATAATTTTAACTCAAATAGCATCTTAAGGAACATTCACAGGTGTCTTATATAAATGAAAAGCATCTCTCCTCTTAAGAAATTATGTAAATATAGACAAAATACCTGTTGTTTTTTGTATCACAGTTAAATAACTATTTATAAGCCTCAGCATTCTCCATTTCACCAAAAAATCCTAAATTATTTTAAAATATGCAACTTTGTATCCATCATTATTAATACAAAAATACTGATATAAACCCTCCATAAATGGCTATTTCAGAGAAATTTCAGTCCATTTTAAAATATATCAGAACCAAGCAGGTGTCAAAACACTAAAAATCTCTCTTTAATATACTAATCAATTATAAAAGATATATAAAAGTATTTTGGTTAAGTATATAAAATAGTATCAAAAATACATTATTTAATGATACACTGATATCCAAAGAAAATTACTTTGTAACAAATATTAATATTAATAGAATAAAAAAAGTAAAACCACAAATTAATGCAAAAAAATTCCTTTACAAACCTGTGCAATATAGCAGCCCCCCAATGACTTGGCAGTAAGTCTGCAGGGTTCTTACACTAAAAATCAGATTTCAATAACCATGGTGGGCAGATAAAAGATAACACATTGTGTAGCTTTGGTTTAACAAAAAACGAGCAATGCAGTACTCCTCCACTATAATTAATAATTATTTCTAAAACTTTAATGCTACATCATAAATGCCCAAAGTTAAACTTCAATCAGATGAGAATCAATTGCAACATGCTTTCAATCTATCAAAATGAGATATGTTGGCATATTTGTTATGTATGTTAATCAGCTTTACTACTTTTCTTAACTTTTCATTTATCTAGTAATCTTTTCTACAACTTAACAGTTGTATTCTCAATGTTTTATATATAAATTATGACCTCAATTTCTGTTGCAGACAGTAGTGCCACAGTATGAGTATTTTTAAACATATATAAACAAGCAGAATTTCCTACCCACTACCTGTTTCACACCAGCTACATATGAATTACATACATTATCAAATTACATAATAACCTAAAATTATGTACTCTTACATTTTTTGGTTATTTGTATCTTGAAATACAGAATGGATGGTAATAATTGTTTCCATTATTTTTCATATATCATTGGTTATCATTTATTTTTAAGTACTTTCATAATTTTCAGTCTATGAATTTAAAATAAATTCAAAACATTTATACAGAAGTACTTTCTATCATTGTATCAACAGAACATAGCGATTTATAAATGACATGTAGTATTATACTTCAGCCTTAAGTTCTGACAAGACTGTAGTAACTGGTGTCCCTTTTTTCTTATTATAATGCTTTGCTATTACTATTATTTATAGCAACTATTTACCTTTGAGATTATCAATATTATCACATAATGAGTAAGGTATTTCCCAAATAAAGTTAATTTACATCGTTAATGAAAAATATGGTGATGTTAACTATGTTAAGGTTACTAACTTAATCAGTTTTAATCAAGTCACAATAATAAGTATAACGACAATTAAGCTATTAGTATAACAATAAGTCTACAAGTAGAGTACAAGTAATACTTGTAGTAGTACTATCACAAGCACAGAGCACAAAAGTTAGGGTTAACAAAATACAAACCAATGACCACATATGTTAATCTGTGTTAAGCCTGACGATAATTAAACTAATACTATTATTCTCTATTATCAACTTATATAATTTAAATATATATATATATATATATATTCACACTTAATTTTCATCTTATAAATAAACTTTTTTATTTTCACTTGTTACTCAATTATAGTCACTTACTCTTGATATCTCCTGAACACCAGACTTGAAATTTTTCTTGGTTAAATTTGTTACTGAATAACTGATTTGAGACAAAGCAAAAGACAAAGAGTCTAGGTTCATAGTTCCATGAATACAACTACGAAAGCTTCAAACGCTTTTGAAGCTTTCTACAGCGCATACAAAACCCCGATAAAATTATAATGTTGAAATAATACTTTCTAGACACGGGAACACCCGTAACCAACATCGGGAAAGTGACTCCCAACATTACTTTAGCATCATGGCGGATCATCCCCGATGAAGTCCAAATTTCACTACACTTTTGCAGAGGTCGCTATCATTAAATAGCAGGTTTTAATATATATCAGCAGCACAAAACAGCTTTTACACCACACGATAAGAGCTAGCCGTAATTATTATCTTGTTAAACTTATTGATATATATAGTCTAAAATATAAAGTAAGAGTTCTAAAATTTATCAATATTGCGAGTTTTTTTTTTATCATAACGCTAAATTAAAGAGCTAGATCAATGTATGATACTCTCGTTGACAATTGTATTTAGCCTCCATTAATAACTTAAGTTTCGTGTATAATAAGACTTACTTTGTTTTGACAACAAAGAAAAACGTGTTCTTAAAATAAATACCACTGGAAAATGATTTGATACAAATTATTTCTTACTCTATTTTAATCCTATGAGAACTGACAAAAACAGCCACATATTAACCTTTCAGATCAAGGAATATATATCCTTATTGTGATATATATATATATATATATATTATTAATTGTTTTTAAATAAATTTACTTTACAATGTCCTACATTTAGATATTCTTGTGAATAGACTTTTGCTAAAGTTAAATACCACCGTGATCGTTTTATAGTTATACTTACTTAACAATTCTTCTATTTCAACGCTCTTTTGGGGTGTAGATCATACCCAGTTTGAGGGGTTGTATGTAGAATTTTTACAAAATGACTAGTCTTTTCTTGAAAACGTATAATGGAAATGTCACTGACGTCTGTAATATAGGAGGTTTGGATAACACACTAAGTTTGTTTGAAATTAAACACAAATCTAAATGATGGGCTATCTGTGTTCTGCCCACCACGGGTTTCGAAACACGGATTCTAGCGTTGTAACTCCGCAGACATACCGCTGTGCCACTGGGGGGCAACACACTCGGACTGTTGATTGACTTAAGAGTACGGTATAAACTCGATCCCTTGGAGTTTTATTGAGACAATATTCCTCTTATATTTTACCAAGTAGAAACAATTTATTGGTCCTTTATGGAGTCAAGCAGTTGACTCTTTTCTGCTCTAGAAACCAGTCAGTCTAAAGAAAAATTAAAGCTCGTGAACACAATAAAATAAGGCCCAATGTTTTTTTATTATAAATTAAGATTATCACTTTTTTTGGTTCACATATGTGCTTCAATTTGATACTTTGATGTAGCATTTGTTCAATTTGCTATTTACAAAATGTTTCCTGACTACCACAGCATGTCACTAAAAGTTACATTTTGGTGCTGAAACCTAGAATGTTTTGTGCAAAATTTATTTTAAATGTGCTTCTTGTTTGTCAGTTTACTCTGGTTAGTGAAAATTTTGTTAGCCGCGATAATAGAAGTACATTTCTGATACCATATACGTTTAATTTATGATGGAAGAGAAGAGCTCAGTTAAGGTGGAAACATAATCTGTGTCATACAAGAACTAGAAGATGGCATCTTTCAAACCAAGACATTTCGCCAGGCAAGGTAACAGCTATATCTGCATTCTAGATTGTCCTCAAGACTAAGAAATGTGATGAGTGGCTAGGAAAACCCTTATTCCTTTGATTCGAACTCTACTGGTTGTCTTCTGTATGCAAGAGTATAAGATGGTAAAGATGGGTCATAGTAGTGATAATCAACCTGAATGCTTTAGGAATAACTGTAGTGGTCTCTATGCAATTCCTAAACATTTGTTGACTATCTTAAACATTGTGAGACACTTGCTAGTTACCCATGACCAATAAAATGAAAAAAAAAAAATACTTGGTCCATTGGTAATAGCCAACTGTGATATCACTTAGTAGAACAGCTAGCATTTTTCTATGATCCTTTGCAGTCAATATACTTACAAGCTAACAAGACACACTAAAGATTCTCTGAGACTGGGTGCAGTGGTTTAGGTTGATGAACAGTGCAACAGTGTTGGTCAACCACTGGCCCTAGCCCAAGACCAAATTAAAAGACTATAACTTTATACATTTCAAGTTTTACATGAAATACATACACTAATGTTCACACTGATAAAGCTAATTTGTACTTTGTGTGAATGAATAATAGAAATAGATCTGACGTAGACCAGTTATACGTGTATCTGATGTCACTGCAGCTGTATGACATATAAAGGGAAATGCATGGATACTGAGCATTTGAGATTACTGGTTGAATATTGTGCTAGCAATATGAACTCAAGGCAGAGAAAGAACTCAATAACTTGTTCATGGAGTATGCTGATGTTTATAGGACCAGCTGGTTGTCTGTAGAGGGCAGTAGTCACACGTCATTATATTAGATATACACGACTGTTTTAGTTTAATGCAAGTGTTAAACTTAGTTATGTTTAAAAGCGATAGTTTATTGCAGGTTTGCTTACATAAATGTCTACAAATCACACGTTGTGTAGTTCCATTGTTGTAATTTGGCGCTTGTATTATTGTGTCATGTTACTAGAACCTTTTACGTTTTTCTCGTTGTTTTGATCGAGTATTATTACATCATAACATTTCGTAATGTGTAGAAAGTTCTAGGCTTCAGTCAGGATATAAATAAGTGAACAAAATGTAGTTCAAGTAAGTAAGACAAAGATAGACAGTTAGTTAGTTAGATAGCTAGCTAGAGCTAGATCGTGGTTTGTGAGTTTATTCGTAAAGAGCATACAGTTGTGTTTTTCTGAAATTATAGACTCTGTGAAATTATAGACTCTGTTATAAAGTAATTGAACAAACCTGTGTAGACTTTTGACGAAAAGAGACAATTATTTAAAGCTCTGGATACAACTGTGGTAACTGAGAGTGTAACGTAGTGAAATTGTCACCAATTGTATCGTTAAAACAGAGCAGAGGAGAATAATTCGTCTTTTCAATAGTGTTATAACGTAACTGAACCAGCCTTTAAGGACTTTGACGGAAAAAAGACGATTATTTAAAGCTTTGGATACAACTGTGATGATTAACTGTGTAACGAATATTTGTATATACATTTGACTTGTGTTAATATATTATTTTAAAACAAGTGGACTGTGCTGTTTGTTTATAATTGAAATTTATCGCCAACAAGTCACAGACACCTGCTGTAAAGAATCCTGCTCATCCATATATAAAAAACCTGACACATAACTTACATTAATGATGTACATTTGATAAAATAACTATCATGGTGACTTCTTTGAGGCAGCAACACCTCTTACATAGTTAGTTATGAGTGAAGAAAAGTATTTTGTGCCATTATGACACACCAATTGGGCGTTGTACCTGACATGAAAATTTTTCAAAGAAATATTTGTGATTTTGCATAATGCAATGTAGGTTTTTGGTCACATTCATACACAGACATTGTGAAGTGGTGAAAACACTGTACTATGGGTGCTGGCCAGAGTGAAAACTGACTGAGCCAAGAAAATCTCTAGCAGAGTTGTTGGTTCTCTCTTGCAGAGAATCACTCTGGATAGAGATAGTCTTCTGCTCAGAACTGAAAATTAATCAGTATATGCTGGTCATTATCAAGTACATCATTTGATACTTAATTAAGTATCTTACATCCATGATGTTTAAATTAATCAGTGAATGACATAAATTAGAGCACCTCAAAAGAGCTAATTTCAATAGCCAATGATTTACAGGATTATATCAATCACTGGTGTGTTAAAATGCATATTTTACTATGTCAAATTTAGCCTGATGGTTTAGCTAAATGGCTAATACAAACTTTCAAACAGATGCCTTTTATATTTGCTAACACTAAAGAAATTGGCTGTGATAAATACCTCTGGTGGAGTTATATCATATTACACAAATGAGTAACAATAAACTGGTTATTCTTCAAATACGAGGTTAAGACAAGAAGTTCAGCTTTCAGTGAATCCGATATATGACCCACTACACATAAAAGAAGCACTGCATTGTTCGTAATAATTTGTATAGTGGCTATATTCTTCAATAATCCACATATAGATTTGCAAATAAGCAGATGGGTAAAGTGGCTGTACATCAAAAGGGATGTTATGACAGAACAAGAGCAGAATGAAAACTCAAGTTTGGTGATTGAGTATAGCTATGCTATAAGCTTGCAGCTGTAAGCAACTCAATTCTAGCCCAAATACTGTTAAACTTTTGGTTTTGAATGAGTGAAAGATAAAAGGTTGCTAGAATAACCTACACCAGTGATTTCTAACTGTCACTCCACAGGGAAATTTCAGTCAGTCCTTAACACGAGTTAAAAATTCATGCTTTAAAATATAGCTACTAAAGTAACAATATAATATGAAAGTACTTAAAAAAGTTAGTAATGTTTGAAGTGGCCCATGAAATTTTGATATTGGAACTACCTACTCCTCAGTTGGAAAAAGGCCAGAAACCACTGGCATACACTACACTGCTCACATCAAATGAAAAAACATGGTGAATTAAGTTTTTATTTGCATTAGTGAAAGAATACTTGGAGTCTTTGCATGTGGAATATTGATGAATTCTGCAACTTTGTCTTTATAAAGTACCTTAATGATTTTTTTATCCATTCAGGATACAATACCTGTTTGTTTCAATAAAGAAATTAGTTTGATTTATAGAATTGAACTATTCTAAAATACTGCAGGTTTTACCACCCGTTTTATTTCAATGGTTTTTCTGAACATGAGAGTTGTGCACCAATATTAGTTACATTTACTTATGGAATTATATTTTTTTTGTTTTTTTGTTGGCTGCGTGAATGTAATTTCGAATTTATTAGTGAGATCATGCATAATTTTATTCTTTTATTCAGATTATTCTTGTAAACTGCATTTTCATTGTTTTAAATTAGATTTTTGTTAGAGGGTGTATGAAAAAAATAAACCACATGATAATAGGTGTAACTTCAAAAAGGACATATTGTCAGGAACTACAGACAAAAGTTTGTAGGGAATAAGAGATCTTCCCAAAGGATACCATAAAGAGGAAACTGTTATAGTTGTGGGTCATGACCGCTGAAACTCTGAGAATCACAAGCTGGTATTAAGCCAAGGAGTCAATACACTGAGAATGTGTCTCAAAGCCCAAATCAGAGAAACAACAAAGAGTTAACCATACATAAAAAGTCAGGAACTATCTGGATTTATAGGGAAAAGTTAAGCTGGGAATAGTCCATCTACTCTAAATGAAGTAAGAATTTCATAATTTAAAGAAACCAGACCATGATGTTAAGTAGCTTACATATACTCTTTATGTGATACATAACAATCCAGTAGAGATCTTGCCAATGACCTAACTGTAAGTACATGTATTAATGTTACCTCCAGAATAGTAAGATACACATTAGCACAGATTAGCTTCATTGGATGTATAGCTGCTAAAAAAAAGGAAATTCTTAAGAGAGATAACCAAAGTTAAAAGCTTAAATTGGTATCTGTCTTCAAAGAATGGAATAGTAAAGGTGCAGGATATGAGGATACTATATTTCTTTGCTTTGTTCTTCCAAGGAGTATGAATGAGCTGCGAAACAAGTGTAAGTAACTTGCCGTAATGGGAGCAAACCAAAGAATAGATTAGACCTCTACACCATTAATTCATTATTGAAATTCATATTTGATGAGGATGAGAAAGTAACAAATAAAGCTGAAGGATGGTGCTCTTTACAGATTATTCCAAGTTCTAAGTGTCTGGCAACAATCACTGGTAGAGAGGAGAACAGTATTATAGTTAAAGTATATCATCTATAACTGGGGGATCAACAAGTGTAAGCTGCATCTCAACCAATGATGTTGAGGTCTGCACAAATATTATGACATACTGAATGCTGATAGGTAGAATCAAGTTCTTATCCACCATGTCATTATCTCAATAAGACAATAATCCCAAGTATGCAGCAAATGTAGTCACATAATATCAGGAAGTAAAAAGAGGGTGAAAGAACATTCATAAACATGGCTTTTGCTTGCAAAAGGTCATGATATTAATATTATTAAGGTTGCTAGGTTTATTGAGATGACTAAGGTCATATTCCAACCAAACAACTTGGATGAATTGTAGGGAGTAATACCTGACACTTGCAACAATATTTTACAATCATATATAGTTAAGATCATGGTAGTAATGTTGATAAACTTATGGTATACTGCTCTGTTTAAAGCAAATAAGATATAATATTGCATTCTATAACCTTTTTGCTTTATATTGTATTATCTATAATAATGTATTGTACTAATGATAAATTGACCATTTAGTTGCAGTTATTCCTTGTTTGTGACTCTTATGTTTATCACCTGTGTGTTTCCATAACTATTTCCAATATACTGTATGTGAGAAGAATATTCATCAGCATTTCAGATCATAAAAACTCTTTCTCAACTCCATTCATTGTAAGTGATGGCAGATCTCCAACAATGCATTAATGCTGTGAAATTCACAAGCCATTTTAAGTTATAGTAAAAACTGTGCCACCTATGCTGATGTCATATAGAATCTTAATATTTAAGCATACTTTAAAATGCTGGTTAAACATAAATAATATGAAATGGTTGACAGTTTTGCAAGGGTGTTGATGAATGGATAGGTAAAATAATCAAATGGTTGTGACAGGTCTCATTTCTTTCTACAAAGTTATGTTCTCAGCAATTAGATATAAGGAAGTGATGTAATCCACAGATGACTAAATAAAATAAATCAGCAAAAGTAAACCTTTGAAATAACTATATGTGCCACTGAGGAGCTGTAAAGAATAGCAATAAATTTATCCCTTTAGTGATGTAATGGTTAATCTGAAATTGAAGATAAAAGGTAGTTCAAACTGTTACTGTTAAAGAATGACCATTTTTGCAAAATTAAAAGGATAAGCCACTGAAATCTTACAGAAATTCTTAAACTCCACAGACTAATTGCTGAAGTGAAGAAAATTCTTTGCTCATTATGGACCAGAACACAACAAGACAGTGTGTCTAGGCCTATGATATCCTCCGATTACCATTAAACCATTCAGTTCCTCATGTACACTGGCATGCCAGTTACACTACCAGATAGTGACGTGCACCAGACCTCTTATATATACCTCCAATTAGACTAAGCAGGATTAATGTAGCCTTTATAAATGGAAAAAGTTCTATACTCTCACAAATATTGGGATAAAAGAAAGCAGCAGTAGTTAAGTGAGTCAGAGTTTATTTTGAATTGGAAGCTCTTTTTCAAAATCTATTCCACATTTAAGCACAAACAATTTTTACTAAGGCTGAAAGAAGATTTGAGTAGTCAAACAAATGTCAAATGGTATTTACCAGTATAACAAAAGTATGAATGCTTAACCTACTGTAAAAAGATGGCTTTTTAGGCTGATATCAGACACACAAGTATGGTAGTCTTTCAAATACAAGACGTCCATGAATGTTATTGCTTATACAAGGAAGGTAATGAATTCATCACCGCTGATTTTTCCAAGCCCGTTCCCTTGGCTGTGGTTTCACTAGATAGTAGATAGGGACAGTGGGAATCTCGTTAATCCATTTACGTGCGTCACTAATTAGATGACGATGCATTTGGCTACCTTAAGAGAGTCATAGTTACAATGTACAAGGAAAGTAATGAATTCATCGCAATAAAACTTTTTAAATCACTACAAAAGAACTAATAGCATTAGTAGTGCTAATGAGACATTAATGTTACCACATATAAGGATTATGAAACCAAATGTGAGATGAACATGCCTTACAGCAATGGAAGGATATTTTTGAAAATCATGAAAGCACCATAGTTCATCGACTTACAATGTTGCAGAAACTAAATTTTAGTATCAAGCATATATAATGTACAAATTTTTATGGATAATTCTGATACCCTCTCAAAAACTCCACAACACAGCTAGTGTTTGGTTGCTCCTTTCACATTAATCATTGTTTTTCAACATGGTATGTTAAGCTTGGATCACAAGTTGGGGCTGAGATGTGATACAATTTATGGGGTTTAATATCATCACTAATCTTTAGCAATTGTAGGGTAATTAAGCTAGAATAAAACTAAACTGTAAACCAATCTAACCAGTAAACCAGTCTATGCAAACAAAATAGTAGCGATGGCAGTTGCAACAATCCTACACAAGAGCACAGGCTCATAGTGTAGTAGAATGTTAACAGACAAAAATAGGATAAACTCAATTGTGATTGAATAGTTATATATATATTGCTATATGTTAATTCTTGCCTGTGCAATATGTAGGGATGCTGCAAATGCCATCCCTACATCTACTTCCTTTTTTTCTCCGAAAGTATTTTCTTTACCTGTTCTTCATAAGAAAAATTATGCTCAATTTTTGTTACACATCTATTTAGATTATGAAACCTGGGGTGCAGAAAATGATTAAAAGGAGTACATTTAAGAAACAATTCATGATACAATTTTTAAAACTTGTGTAAACATCTTTATTATTCAATCTTATCAAAGTATACAACAACATTTTTAGTCTGTGTTTTTCTCTAATTCTACAGCTGTGATTATCATAACTGTTCATTTAAAAAATTATAATAAAATTTAAATATTTTTTCTGAAATTTTCTAAGTAAAACATTTAAGAGTAAATTAGTTAAAATATTTTACAAATACATGTATTCTTGTTTTGTGCTGAAATTTAAACTTCTATATAAATGAACTTATTTCCTGTCTTTGATTTACTCATCATATTATGTTAAAATAAAAATTTAACATACACAAATAATTTTTCTCTGCAATCCATTCATTTTCTTTTAACTGAGAGACAAAAACAAAACTTAAAATCTACTTTCCTGTATTCAGAGAATTAAGCAATTATAAAAAGATGACACAAGTAGAAGGCACTTAATCCTGTTGTTTAATCAGTAATACTACCACTCCCAGTAAAACAACTTTCACAACTAGTAATTTTTATAAATATGAGAATAAAACGTTTTTTTCAAGTCTCCCCCTCAAATGAGCTCCAATGGATGTGATAATGACCTATATAATTGATTAACTAAACCTGAAGTCATCAATTCATTTAGTGACTGAATACATATATATAAACACACAATAAACCCAAATATTTGTAAACTAATACAGATAAAGAGTATTGATCACTTTACTATTTAGCTACTACTACTAAGGGTAAAATTAAAGCCAAATGTTTAAGTGAATGAATATGTATATAAATGTACACCATAAACCACAGTACAACACTACTGATCACCTCCAAGTACTATTAATGTGGGTAATTGAAACTGAAACCAATCAGTTGTCTACCAACGGAATCTATATACGTGTGCACCAGTAGGCAATGCTGATTACATCACTACTGGAAATACTATTAACTTAGATAACAAAATTGAAACTGTCGGTTCATTCAATGACTGAATATATAATGGTACATGTACAGATGAATCACATACAAAACATTCTATCATATCAGGAGGTACATCCACATGGACAGCATGATATATAAATAGAAACTTTTAAGATATTCACAGATTTGCATTTAAAAATGATCTCATATTTAAAAAATATTTACAGTTATTTTACATTTATAGTTCTCAATATGAAAAAAAAAGCAGTTAGCAAGAATACCTATGCAAGTAAGGTTGTAGGTGATTTAAACATCTAATACTATGGTACATCGTAAGTATGGGTTGCTCATAAACTATTTGTATTGACAAATAAAAACAAACTTTAAATGTCTGGTTTAATATCCAGCATTCTAAGAAGAAGGTGCATCATCCTTTCAATCTGAGAATCTGTAAAGTCAAAAGATACATATCCTGTAGGGAAAACAGAAGTGTTAGAGTGTCTATGATGGTGACTAGTTAAAGCAGCAGTTGTTTCAGGTAATGTCACTTCAGCAGAGGTTGAAATACCTGGAAATTTGGGGAATCTACCTTCCTCTATCTGAAGAGAATAACTTGTTCCTTCATTTGCTGCTACATCAAGTTCTAAATCCTGTTTTCCTTCATTTGCTGCTACATCAAGTTCTAATTCCTGTTTTCCTTCATTTGCTACTACATCAAGTTCTAATTCCTGTTTTCCTTCATTTGCTGCTACATCAAGTTCTAATTCCTGTTTTCCTTCATTTGCTGCTACATCAAATTCTAATTCCTGTTTTCCTTTATTTACTATTACATCATGTCTGGATTCATGTTTTCTTTCATATGCTGTTACATCAAGTCCTGATTCATGCATGCCTTTTATTTTTGTATCATCAGATTCTGATTTAGGTTTTTCTTTATTTGGTGTTAAGTATGGTTCTGGTTCACATTTTGATTTGCTATGAATAGGAAAGATTTCAGAGTCTGTCAAAGTGTTTAAGTTCATTCTTATAAAAGAACACGTACATGAAATAAGACTTCTTTCACATGCATTACACCAAGGTTCAAACCTTTTACCTTTCATTTCTGCATTCAAAACATCGTGACAAGCAGATTTTTGTTTCTGATCAGGAACAATACTAAAATGATTTTCTAACACAGCTTTAGGCTGGAAATTTAAATTTCTTCTACAAGCATCCTTATCAAAAGTTAGAGGAATTACCTGGTTTAAGTGGTCACTGTAATTATTAGATGGTTTCTCAACAATACCTGGAGGAGAATCCATAAATGTATAGGTCATGCCACAACCATCAAATATCGAACTGTCAACCTGGCTTTCAACATCATTATCTGCATAAGATAAATACTCAGTGTTAATTTTCTCTTGCGAAAGTGCTGTTTTAGATTCTAAAACATAAGTCTCATTTTCTTCTGATGAAGACGAATGTGTAAGATCAATTACATCATGAGGTGTGGTGCAACAACTCCTAATTTCCTTCTGTGCTTCCAACCTACTACACTCAGAACTTTTAAAATTATTTTCAGAAAGTTTTTTTCTATTTTCTTTTACTGGAGTTGGTGAAATCATCAAAGATTCATCTAGAGATTCTTTAGATCCAGAAAATGTATTGTTAGCAATGGTTACTTGTACATGGTTTTTTAAGCAATCTGTTGTATGGGAACTTGGGATCTGGGACAAAAAACTAAATGATCCTTCTGCTATTTCCTGAATATTCAAATCTGGAGTGGTGTTATATTCCTCAGAGGATAAAACAATAGTTTTCTGACACCAACCCAATTCTTCTTCTTGTGCATTACTTTCAGATTGCGTATATTCACTAGGCTGTGAATCTTGCGACACAGCATTAACAATTCTAGTTTCTTCGCAGTAAGGATTACTTTCATTGATTGTGCATTTCTCTTCAAATAAACCATAGTCAGAATTACTACAGAATTCTTCAAACACGTTTTTATCAACCACCCTATTGTTAGTGTCTTCCGGAGAAATAAAATCACTGTGAATTAAAGAATTAGGTTTATCTGTTGATGCACTGCAAGTAAGATTATCACAGTCTTTTGGTAAAGTACTGTCAGAATTACTTTTTTCTTTCATGTTTACATTATTTGTCACACTAGATTCTTTCCTTAAGTATTTTTTATTCTTCAGTGCACCTGAATCATCAAAACCAACACTTTTCCTTTTAGAAGGTGATCTGCTTGCTAATACAGATTTCTCTGTGGCATTTTGTTCATTTTCATAATTTCTCAAAGTTCTTTTTTTGTCAGTTATTTTATGCCGACTTCTAGTATTATAGTCTTCAGACAGCAATGAGCTGCTAAGTAGTAGAGAACTGTCATTCAGTGAACTAGTCTTTTGTTCATTGATGAAATATTTTGTGTCAGACGTTTGTTTTTTGTTCACTCTGTGAATAAGCCTGCCACTTCTTAAGACTTTAAATTCCTTTTCACTATTGATATTTAGAGCAGCTGGAGTCTTTTGTGTAAGAGACATCTCAAAATTCATATTACATGCTTTGCTGACTGTATCTGCACCTGGATCTAAAATATTTTTTGAAGAAATCTGGTCACTTGTATTAGAACGATGCCTCTCTTTCTTGAATCTACTACTACTATCCAAATTAGAAGAATTATTTTCAATAACACCATTGTCACTGATTTTATGTTCAGCAGAAGATTCCAACTCTGAAAAAAGAAAAGTATCTTGTGAAAGAATTGAGATAAGTATGAAAGTGAAACAATCTTTTAATATTAGTAAACCTGGGTTTAGTTACTGGGTAATAAGTAAATACACAAGTTAAAATTTTCCTATGCTGAAAATATATTTTCAATAGGTGCTCAAATATTCTCACAAAAATAGCTACGTCTCACATTGTAAATCATCATGTGACAAACCTCCACCAATAAGAGTGCGACACACTTCGAGTTTTGGCAGAAAACGGAAGCACTGGTTTTCATTGGGGAGGAAGGGTGAGCAGTGTTAAAGGAGGTAAGAACCAATCAGAAATATATTTTCCGTATAAAAAAATTATAACTTCCGACAGGGTACATTACCTTCGCTCACATAAATAGTCAGAATCCCATGTGGAATAGGTGGAGGGATCGAATGTGAGGGAAGAACAAAGAAGCATTCCCTGAAAGCACCTGAAGAACATCCTAAAAGAGTAGATCCTCACAGTAGAGAATCATACATGGGAGACCGCACCACATCTGTACCAGGTATACTCTTCGGCCAGTGTGGAATTAGGTGTTGCAGACATGGACAGAAAAATGGAAGAGCACATCCATACAATGGTGGGATAGGGATCTGCACCACCATATATAATCAATTTCAAACCCATAAAGTACTGGAACGTGGGTGAAAGTAAAAGGATGTGTCCCTATGTGTAGAATGGCTAGAATGTGGCGGACTGTACACAGCAAGTCAACTGCATCCTAACCCCAGCCATCGAGAACCGATATCTATGTGGGAGTAGGAAAGAGGACCATACCATCTTCACCTCAATTTCAGCAGAACAGAGGGAATTTTGAACCCACTGTTCTGTGAATGTGACACATAATAGCAATGTGATAAACTGTTTGACAGGTCCGGGAATCTGAAATCCAGACAATCAGTATAGGAATGATGTCTCCGTAATGGAAACTAACTCTCTCAAAACCATCCGACAAAGAACTGCCCTCAGTGCAAGAACATCTTTGGTATATGAAAACATCAAGGGATAGTATAAGAGTAAGAACCGTATTAATCTAAATGTCCAACCAGAGTGACCCACAACATGAGTGGAGGGAACAAGAGTATAATTGAATGAGGCACAGAGACACCTATAAGACATATGTGAGGACTTATGTTGATTGGAAGGAGAAAGGTCACGAACAGAGAATGTCTGCCAAGGAATGAATAGGTGGGAACAGGCACCATGGAATGAAACCTTGTGGGCAACATAACACAAATGGGATATAATAGCCTATCAAGATCCAACCACGGATAAGGGTGGGAAATGGAAGGGAGTGAAATCAGTGAGGAGCAGGATTTACCCTTCCCAGCCACTGAAGTTATGGGAAGGAAAGATCGATCCGGATAAAGAAGAACATATGTGGAATGATATTGGGTACGTGAAACATTGAAGGCAAATAAATCTGACTGATGATCTCCACAGGCTAATAGGAGAAGGAAATAGGTCTTAAGGGACAAGTGAAAAATCCATCACGAGGTCAGAGATTCAAATGGAGGTAAAGTGAGGCAGTAAAGAGCCACATTAACATCCTAATCTGGAAGGATGCATGCCAAAGTGAATGACTAATCTGGAAGGTATGCAACAATATGGAAAGCAGCCACAGAAACCATGGTTGTACCGGCCAATACAGAGCAATTACAAGGACTTGACACGGAGTGGCATGAATGATCGAAATCACTCTGTGAAGATGATGGATGGGAAAATAAACATACAGGTATTTGTTGGTCTATTCTTGACTGAATGCATTGACAGCCAGAGCAAGGGGATGAAAACTGGAGACCAAAACAGAGGTAACTTGGTATTGAGGGATATGGCAAATGCATCCAGGTGAGGAGTACCCGATTGAAGGCATAGTCACCGGAAAACAAGAGGATTGAGAGACCACTCCATCAGATAAACTTTGTTAGGACGGGAAAGACGATCAGCAAAAAGATTGAATGCACCTAGAACATGACAAGCAAGGATATGAATATCAAGTGTGTAGGCCCAAAAATGGAAATCCAAGGTTCGACCACAAAGGGAATGAGAACGGATGCCACTTCGGTGATTGATATAAGCCACCACTGTAGAATTGTTGAAATGTATTATGACCAGAGGATTCCTGGCAAGATGAAGAAAATGATCCAAAGCATGATGTTCAACCAGAAGCTCCAGGATACTGATATAGTGAGATATTTTGGTTGGAGACCACCAACCCAAAGCTTCCTGCTGATCGACACATCCTTCCCAACCCCTGTTGGGAAGCATCCCTGAAGATATGCAAATTCGAACAAGGGGAAGAACTGGTACACCCGCCGATGTGTGAGCCTTGTCTGACACTAATGCAGATCACCTGCAATGGAAGGAGGAAGTGAAACAGGAGCCTCCAATGGATCCTGCACAAGATTCCTTTGGTTGTGCAGAGCCCACTGAAGAAACCTCATATGTGCTCAACCCAGGAGGATAGAGGCTTCCATGAAAGACCACACCTCCAAAAGTGATAAAATTTCATGAGCTGTAAAAAGAAGGAGCAGTAAGGACATGGAGAAATGAAAGCTCCTTCGAACGAAGTCAAAGAGAAGAAGGTTGGGCTCGACTGAGATGAGTGTTGAAAAAGACACCCAATTGGGCATAATATTGAGTAGGTATAAGGAATAACTTCTTCAAATTGATTAACCCACCAACATGAGCTGCCTCCAGGAGCAGCAGATGAGTGTGGTGGGTGGACTCCTGTTCAGAATGAGCTAACAGAAGCCAGTCATCCATGTAATGATAGAAGCGCATCCCCCGAGCATGCAAATGTCAGGCAAAAGCCTTGACCACCCGAATAAAGACATACGGAGCCGAAGCAAGCCCAAAGGGCAGAGTGTGATATTAATAAACTACCTCTTGATGAACGAACTGAAGATAGTACCTCGAATGACATGATGTTGGGACATGCAGGTAAGCATCCATGACGTCTACCTTGGTCACCCACAATGCCATTGAAAAAGTCCACCTGAGGAGAAAAGACTCCATGGTAAGTCAGGGTAGAACCAAAAATTGATTGAGGCAGGATAAATCTATCACAGGTCATCAGTCCCTGGTTTTCTTGAGTACCACAAACAGCCTGGAATAAAATCTTGGAGAAGGATGATTGACAGGTTCAATGTCCTGCGGAGAGAGATGATCTTGTACCACCTCCGATAGATGTTGACTGGTGGTAGGATCCTGAGGCAATGGAGGAGGGGAAAGAAAATGGGTGATAAGTCCCTCAGATAATACCCAAATAACCCACAGATCTGTGGCAAAAACTTGCCAAAGGGGAAAAAATTGGTCAACTGAACCCCACTGAACCAGAACGTGCTGGTACTGTTGGCAATGTGTCTATCTGTGTTGAATAAAACAACGAGATGAGGAATTCCTGGAGGTAGGTACAGGTAAAGGCTGTACCTGGAGCTGGACAGGAAACAGTAATAGGGGCATGTCTAGGCTCTGAATGAGACAAATGATCCACCAAATCAGAAAGGGTAGCTTGTTGTCACACCGACTCCACATGGGATTTCATAGTCTCAGGAATAGTACCAAAAACATACCACTGTAGAAAAGGGGCTATATGTAAGTCCCAGAGATAAGTTGGCAGTAAACAAACCTGAAACAAAGCAGCATTCCTTCACAGGAGATCCCAACAACAGAGAAACCATGTGTGTAAGGATAGAGCTAAAGAAGAAAAATGTGCCAACATGGAGGTAAGCAGGGAGAGGCTATCCCTCGAAAAACCCTCAGGATCTCTGTGTATCGCTTCAGAAAGGAAGTGGATAGTAGACAAGTTTCGTAGGACAATGAATAAGGTAAGATGGAGGCGGGAAAATTGTGATAAACAAATAGGATGATCAAAATCCTTGTCGATGCAAACAGGTTTGGGATCTTCTAGAGCAATAGGGTCAAGATCAGATGAAGCAGATTGACTCATATAACGATCAATCTTACGGCAGATTATAGCTGATAAGTTCAAAGATGAGTCACTCTCTCCTGTAGCCTGTGTAAGTGTGCTAGTCGAAGGTATTACCTCCAAAGTGGTAACTTGAACTTCAAAATTCACTGTGTAACAAAGAAAAATCAAATACAAACATTTGATGAGAACAAAAAATGAAAAAGTGGGAAAATAAGTTATCTGAAAAGTCATTAACTTTTGAAAAACAAAACAAACCCACTTCACAATAATATAAAAAAAACAGTAAGTTGAACAAAAAATATGCTTGAAGAGTACTACAAAAACTTCTTGACACGAATACTGCCAAATGAGAAGTGATAGTTCGGTAGAATCAAATAGAGGGAATCATATGTTTGGAGAGTGTGTTGCACTCTTATTGGTGGAGGGTTGTCGCATGATGATTTACATACAAGAACCAGTTGAGTGTAAGGTAAGTGAGAGCTCAAGGCTTGTGGCATGCAAAAAAAACTTTTTACATATAGAAGGCAGCACTGAACAATAATAGCTATTTATTTGATTGGAGGTAACATACCATATCGGAAGTTGTCATTTACTTAAACCTTTAATATCTGTATCAAAGCTCTTGAAAGACAAATAAAAAAAGCATAATTCCAGAAAGTATTTTCAGCTTTTTTTATTAAAAAAAGGGATTGAGATTAGCTAGAACTGTATAATTTATATTTTGTATAAATAATTCCACTAATAATGTTAGTAAATTTAACACAGAAGGGCCTCTTCAGTATCTCAGAACCAACAGCAATTTTAATAGCAATATCATGGAAAAACACAACCATACACACACACACACATATATATATATATATATATATATATAAATACACACAAAAGAACATTGATATACTAATATAATTTAATATCTAAGTTTATTATTGTTAAAAAGAGATCAAAATTTTGAAACATTAAAAGTAATTAAATAAAGACTTGTAATTTCTCACAGAGAAAAATAAAATATTATAAAAAATCTGATTTCAATAATATTCTGAAAACTGCCAACATTTGTTTATATAAAAGTGTAAAATATAAAATCATTTAGTTGATTCTTGAAGCTATAAAAGAGAATAAATTATAACCATATATTACATTCATGCATGTATATCTTAATTTTGTTTAAAAGAATGAATTAAATGCTGCAATAAACCTGATTATTAATTAGTTACTAATGGTTTTGTCTTCTGATATGTTTAAGTAAAAGACAAAAATTAACCAAATTTCATATATTCACTTGAAAAAAAATTGCTAATACCTTGGTAGTTTAAACAAGGATACAAGCATTGCCATCTGTATCTTAGAACAGCACCTTGTGTAACACAATGGCCAAATGGCCAGGTCAGAGATCAATGGAACAGGCATAGCCATCTGCAAGTTAGAATGACACCTCATGTGACACAATGGCCAAATGGTCAAGTCAGAGATAACAGGCACAGCTATTTGTAAGTTATAATAGCACCTCATGCGACACAATGGCCAAATGGTCAGATCAGAGATCAAAGGAACAGATATAGTCATCTGTAAGTTAGAATGGCATCTTAAGCAACCAAATGTCCCGGTCATGTATTAAAGGAGCAGGCATAGCCATCTGTAACTTAGAACATCATCTTATGGTACACAATAGTCAAATGGTCAGGTCAGAGATCAAAGAACCAGGCATAGCCATCTGTAACTTGGAACTGCTGCAGCACACACTATCTATATGGCTACTTATAACTGAATAGCAGGATTGACTGTCACTTTCACATAGAGCTCACAGCTGAAAATGCAGTGTGTTCAGTACTTTATCAAAGATTAAAACTTAGGACTATGGATCCACAACCTGGCCCACAAATAAAAGATGTGATGTTTTAAGGTTTCAATACATCTATTACTACTATAATTATTTAGAATTCTTATCATGCCAAATATTTTTAGAGACAATAACTTTGGCTGTTAAGTACAAATGTTTGCAAACAATATGATGTAATATTTCATCTAATAAATACTAACTATCCAGCAGTTGTGAGCTTTGAGAGCTTATCAAAAGAAAGTCAGCTGCATTATTTCCAGCACACAGAGATTTCACTGATTCCTTGACACTCGTTTTTGCCAGTGGATCAACCTCTTCCAGAACGTCATTAAGAAGGCTATCTAATTCTGTTGAAGATTCTAGACTGAAATAAAAATGAGTGTAAAAAAAATAATTAAATATTATTTATGTTAGGATCTACTGCACAGTGAATACCTAAAAATAATCAATTACACCCAGAGTACCAATTATAATATTTTACACAGTTAAATATAAAAACTGAATAAATTATTTGACCAATTCTCTATAAATGGTCTTGCATTAGACCCATGAAACTTTTTTTTCTAAATTACCTTCAAAGATTTAAATCATAATTCTTATTAATTTAACTTAATTTTGGAAGTTTTACATTCTATTACATATGAATAATGAATATTGGTTGTGTTGTTCAATAAGAAATTACATCACTCAGGTTATTTTGTGATGTCACTGTAGAAATGTAAAAGTAGATGGCTCTCTGAAATATGTTCCCCTAAATTTATTAGAAACATTATGTTATCACTTTACTTGAAGGAAAGAGGTAACACCGATGACGTAATATTTGTATAAATATTCCAAAATAGTACTGAAAGCAACTTTTAACATTACAGTCTTAAACTTCTTCCTCTCAAAGGTCAGTCTACAACTCTTGGCTGTTTGGTTAACTGTAAAAATACATAATTTCCTAACATTTTCAATGAAGATGACAAACAACTTCAGATAAATGTTTATTTAATCTGCCCAAATTTATGGTTAATGCCTTTTTCAAGGGTCTATGAATGTCACAGATTACAAAACTGATCTTAAATGATGGTAACCAAAAATGTTATAATCTACAACACTATAACAGAACAGTGCACTGTGAAGTATACTAAAACGAGTTAGAATCACAGATCATAAAAGTAAATGTTGAAAAATAAATAATAATAGTATTATAGGGGTAAGGCATTGTATCTGTTAATGGAAGAGCATTTGGACTGAATCAAAAGAAATTCTTTAAATTTCCTATCAAAAAGGTTGTCATAAATCTCTAAAATTTTGACTCCAATATAAACAGTTTTGATTTAGTTGAAAATCAGATAATATTGTATCATGAATGTGTAATAAATTAAGACTTCTGAAGTGTAAAACTGCACAAGTTAGATGTTAAACATATTATTATTTTCAATTGCAACTAACAATCCTCACAAAATAAATCAGACAGGTCACATAAAACTTTGAATAGATAATTTGTTTTTGTAAGTGCTTTCACTAAATTGACTTCAGATGGAGCATGTGATGCTCTTTATCATACACATATGTAATTCAGTTTGTATATACACTTAAAAAAATATATCACAACAGAATCATCTGCTGTAAACTTGAGGCTTTTAAAGCATTGTTATTTTCAACTGATTGAGCATGATGATGGAAGTAAGAGACTATGTACGTAAAACAAGTATCTATTTCATATAATTTTTTTTATCAGAAGGATAAAGAAGTTTCATTAACAGTTTGCTTCCACATGACTGAATGTATTTCACTCCATGTAATTCGTGATGTAAATACCAAAGTGCTTGGTACATTATAGAAATAGAAGTACAAAATTCTGTTCAAAGTAAAATCTAGAATTTACAGATTAATATTTATAAAACATATTTTCACTTTAACATTCAATTATACTAAAACCAAGTTACAGTAAGTGTAAATAACTATAAATGTTAGGACACAAAAAAAATTACATCACACTTACCTATCTGGAGCCAGTGCTTGCTTCAACCTTAAAATGTCCAGGTTGGTTTGCTTTACTGCACTGCAAAAAAAATAATAAATAAATAAAAACTACTGGATGAAATTGTTTGAAACTTGAGATGAACTTTCAACTGATTATGCAGCTTCTGCAAAATAAAATATGTAATACTTGTATGAATTCTCAGTTTTGAAAATTCAAAAAGATTTCTTTGTGAATTTTTTTATAGAAACAATTAAAAATAGTTACTTTTAATTTAGATTTCAATTGCTAATTTTGTGTCTTCCCAAGTTCTTGTAAGGATTAACATTCAAGATTTTATGTTATAAAACTGTAAATTTTGCCTTTGGTTTCATTCAAAAAATGCTACATGCAATTTTGCTGTGTTTACTATTACTGGAGTACAATAAAAATAACTTTATCATATTAAATTACAAACAAGCCAACTTTTCTTAACTATTAATCAGAAGACTTTATTTAACATATTTAAGTTTTAAATCACTTTTATATTCTTTTACATACATATTTTTTTTACTTTTCTATTTGATGATACAAAACTTGATATGGTTGAATACAAAAGTCTAACAATTCTCAACCTGACCTTGTTCTGCAAAAAAGCATACATCATACCAGAATACTATAATTCAAATAAAGCAAGCTTTTTGCAAGGTATAAAAAAATTGTTCAGAAACATCTTTTCTTCTAGCAACATATCACAAAGCTAAACTTTATCACTTTGGTCTGATCTGTACAAGTTTTTACCATATTGCTTCGTACAATTTAAAGAAACAGAAAAAGAGATCTCATTACACTAGCCTATAGCTGAGGTATAAGCAATTCATATAAAACCATGACAACCAAGACTGGGAAACAGCGACTAGCTGAAATTGATAAAACTACACTCGTATTGAAGTTATAAGGTTCAAGTTGGTTTTTACTTTGTTTAAAAACTATTTCACTTTTTTCCTCCTAGGGAGCTATGAGTGCTCAGAAAAAACTCAGGAAATTCTCAAACATTAATGTTTTCATTCTGAGTATGCTGAAACTAACCCAAAATTAAAAATACAATTTTATGTATAAAACGAAATAAAATAGTTTTGTTGAATAAATTTCTAAATTGATGTATTGAAAAATGTATAGAATAACAACTGCAACTTTATTTTCCATAATTGTTTAGAATTCAATGGTGCAATTTTGCCCACGGATAATGGGTACACCCTGCTTGGTACCAAAGGGTTAATGATACTTGTGCTGTCATTCTTGTGTATGAAATATAATTGCTGCAATAACAATTAAGTAACGGAAATAACTGAAAAATTGCTTAGAGGTGTAATGAAAGTTATACTTCATGTCAAGAGAAGTGGGATGACAAATGACAATTTAAAAGTGAAGTAAATATTTTAGAGGAAACACTTGTAACAAGTGCTTTTAAAGAGTTTTCAACTCTTGATTTCCTGTACTAAATTATTCTACATTCACTAATTTCAATTTTTCAAACTTACAATTTTTGCTCAAAGTCTTCGCATTTTTTCTGAAGTTCTGGATCATCTTCAGATCTTTGAATTCTAATAAAATAAAATAAAAACATTATATATGTACATAAAAAACATTTTAATTTTGTTTTATAAATGTATTTTTATTTCAAGTTTATATTTCATTGCAGCTGTACTTTTGTTTATTGTGTAGAAAAAACCATGAGGTTAGCAGCGTGAACTTCACACATTTGTCACAAACTATCATGCCTGTTGGGGTTCACTTTAGTTCAGCCCAGTGCAGGCGCATTTGAACATTATTGTAGATATGATTGTAAGAAAGTTTTTCGGTAATTGAATTCAAGCAAGTTTATTTCAACATATGTCCTTGTATATTGTTTCATTATACATACAAAACTAACTTCCACTACTAGTGAATGTATGTAATAGTTTACAGTACAGGTGGTTTGAATAACACCTCCTGACCATAGTTACATGATACATCCTGTTACAGGATATTACCAAAGGATACAGACACCAAAAATTACAAAGAAAATTACTTTACAGCACTTAAAAGATTAGTCCTGGTCACATTCCTCTCATTATAGGCAAGATTTATATTGGAATTTGAAAGCTAAGCTATTCATTGTATTGACACCCCAACTTTGAGAATGTCACAGCTTCCCCCGTATTATTGAGACAAATGTGTTTAGTCTGTTTCACAACCAACATATGGATTTTATTTTTTGTCATTTGTACACTGAGTTATAAATCATTTGAAAAATATCAGAATAAGCTTTTATATATCAGTTAGACTGTTTTAATTATAAAGCAACAAAAACAACAGTAGTGGGAGTCTTACTACAAAGTAAAGATAGTAAGAAGAATATATATAAAATTCTTATATGGTACTAGTAGTACGTACAAATCGCACAAGGTTATCATTCTAAATACTGAATCATATTTTTATTATGAACTTAATATATAAGAATGCTAAATTATTGAATTTTAAACTACTAATTTAAATGCAAAAGAATATAAAATTCACAAACTCTTTCAGTTCAAAGTGCTAAGCCTAATCTACGTAAAGACCATGCACTCACCACTCGATAGATCTTAACCCTAACATTTGTTGATCAATTTCTTTCCTAAAGATATATTTATTTTGAGTTAATTTTTCAATAGAATGATTAACATAAATAGATATCCAATATAGCATGATTTAAGCTACTATAGAAAAATAATAAAAGTCACATACATCCCATGCAGTTTCTTCCAGATGCAAATTTTCTAAGGCTTAAAAACAGTACTAATGACCACTACTAAACACAACCTATACATAAAATGGCAGTTACTATAATAAGCACCACCCGCATTCATATTGTAAAATCCAGCAAACAACATTTTGTCACTTGCTTTGCTTATCATCCTATGAATTGTAAAACGTGTAATACAGCACTTGGAATAACATGGTACTAAAACTGACACCTTTGACTAGGATTGGCTAAAAGTTTTACAACTGAGGTTTAACATGCCCAGATGCTGTTTTATAAAGAAAACAGACTAGAAAGAGGTTTAGATAACAATCATAGATGGCAGAACCAGTGCTAAAGTGCAAGGAAAATTTTTTTAAAAATGTAAAAAAAATTTTTATTCTTAGAGAGCACTTATCTATAGTCTCAAACGTATTTTGGGATTTTTTTATTAAACTTTTCTTCAAACTCCATTAAATAATACATTTTAGGACAAATAATTGAATATTATGCTGTTATTTACAAAAATAAAATCTGAAATCCAATAAAAGATAAGTGCTCTATAATTTTTTCAATTCATAAATGTGATTTTGCCTTCATGATAAAACAAAATGGCCCCAGTAGGTAAGGGGTTAAAGTGAGATATGATAATGTTTACAGTTCATTTCTTGCAGGATTATAATAACTGATTAAAAGAAGAGAGAAATGTGATTGTGTTATTAGTACGAGTATTTAGTCACTTATATATATTTATCAGCAGTACGATGCTATCATCATGGTCTGTGGCCTCTTAATTTATCACATAAGGGCTCGACTTTTAAACAACAATGGGGATTTTTATAGAATAAATTTATGTTGATGATTAAAGAATGAATTATTTATTAGCAAATCAGTTTTTTATTATATAAACAAATGAAAACTTGAGAAATTTTAACAAAAATCATTAGACATCTACTTATTTATCAATATTCTAGGTTGTTTTTTTATACTTACGTTACCAGGTTGAATCTCAAAAGAAGTATATATAGTAACTAACCATAAAGAAACAAACAATATTACACACATGTAATGTCTATGAACATGTTTAACACAGATGTTAGGTGAGCTCAAATTAGTATATTTCATGTTTATATAAGCAGAATTAAACATTATTAAAGTATTTCTTAATAATAATAATATAACCACACTGAAAAATTTCAAGGTAAAAAAATGTGCTGCAAAAAAAGAAAAGAGTTCATTATTACCTTCGTACAAATCTGGTAAATAAATACCATATACCATAGATTTCTAAATGTAAAACTATGAACTTGTACTGCTAGGTTAAATTCAATATATTTTCTAAAATGTTATGCTCAAACATCTTGTCGCATGTTATTTGCAACAATACTCCCATTGTTGTGGCTTAACAATGGACACTGCTGCAAGTAAGGACTACTTTTTGACCCTGTTATTACTTTATAGTAAATATCACGAGAAATCCAAGACACATAATTAATGACCTAAAAACAATTTTTAATGACTTCAACTACTCAAAAAATCAGTGTTTAGGAGCTGACAGTATACTTACACAAACGGGTAATCTTTCATTAACGAAGAGAGTGGCTCACCCAAGTAGTCAAATTTATCTACTTGAATAGCAAAAGTTCCATTTTTCTGTAATTATACACACATATATTTTATCTAGACCACATAAGAAATAGGAATAAGTACATGTACTTAATTCAAAGTAAAAAATTCAATGATTAGTACAATAAATCAACCACTTAACATCCTGGAAGAGGAATTTGAAATATCCCATTTAGATTTTGACCAAAACAAAAGTGGAAATCAGAAAATATTCTCTCATGGTCACATAAAATATAACAGATTTATTACACTTTATGTTACAAGTAGGTAATCCAGTAACAGTTAGGAAGTATGACATCTGATATTAGAAGTCCTGAACTTTGTGCTAACAAAAATTTGTAAAGAAACATAACAGCTAATCAAATGAGATGTGGTCAACAATATCTATTATTGAGATGAGTAGAAAGTACACAAATAATAGCAAATTGGTTTATCATACAAAACAAACACAACAACTTACTATTTAATTAATAACAAATGGTTAAAGCTGGGCAGTTAGTGGTATTTACTAGTCAAGTAATTGATGGGCTCATTAACTGATTAGTAGACCATGCCCATGCAAGCAAAATAAAGAGTATGTGCTGCTAACTTAGATTTTTAAACCTCTGCAGCATACTAACATGTTATTAATCTTCCTATTTTCTTTTGCCTTTAGTTTTTTTTCTCTAAGTAATAATATTGTTAAGGTTGTCATTTTCCCATTTGGAAAAAAAACCCACCTTTGTCTAAACAAATATTTCCTAAAAGTTTTATGGACATTTACCACTTAGAAAATGGATGGCTAATATTGACTAAATATCACCACCACAAAGTTGCCATTATTTTTGTTTTTCATACATGCATTAATCCCTTACTGATCTGCAAATCAAATAAACTGATAACTAAGTAACGAAAACGTTTTATTTTCACAAATAAGGGTAATATAAGTTTTTACTTACAACATATTACAATTGCAATTACAAATAATTAAGTAGCTAATTTATTTATGTACGTTGTTTGAATAAGCTAAGCATAAAGATAATATTCAATAAAGATTTGAGTCATAAGAATATTTTGCAGTCACCTAACATTCTCACTGAACAGTAAACATAACTTATCTGATTTGATAACATTTTTATTTGATGAATATAATAAAAACAACAATTTATGTTTATAAATATTACAACTCAGTAAAGTCACAGTATATCTATTAAAAAGTAAAAAACAGTAACTTTAAACAAAGAATAAAAAATCAATAAAATACATTAATTAAACCTTAAGAAATATCCAGTTTTGTGACTTTGTTTTATACTGTATATACATTCCTATGTGTAAGTAAACTACTTGTACCTGATGATGACAAAACCTCTTCCAAACTTTGTAATTGTCAGTGTTAAACTTTCAGTAATTTTCTTTGTTACTCATTCAACCCATCTCTAAACTGTATAAACTTACCTACCTTAAATTATCTATGTCTTCTCAATGAAAAAACTTTTTGTAGTTTTCAAATAGATATAATTTAACTGCATATACTTTCACAATTCACAATGAAAGGAACATTTAGAAAAACTATTTACTCTATATAAACTTTATTTATAGCTGTTATCATGGGAACCCATAAAAATATTGTTTTTTTGGGAGGAGCAAAACAAGCATGTTGGGGATCAGCTTTTACAGTGTAAGTCAACAGACGAAAAGAATATGTGTTATGTTTGCTTAAATGAAAACACAAATTTACAGTTTTAATTTAAAATTACTAAAAATACTGAGTGCAATTGATTGCTAAATGTAAGAGGGTAAATGTTCCATCTTTCCCCTTCCTGCAGGCACCCATGGCTGTTTTCAAAGACGTGTTTCATTAGTAAATGGTGAAACAAGTTTATGTGGCACCAGAACAATGTTTCAATCAAGGCCTGTACAAAAAACTAATAGAAATGCTTGAAATGAAGTAATAGATAATATATTTTCAAGTGGTAATAGGTTCTTAGTACAAATACAGTTCTTCTTTGGGATGGGTGGAAAACTTATTTAAAAACTTGACAAGTAGGTTGTTTTGTTTACAGGCAAAACTTTTTCCAACTGTGAAAATATTACTTTTTCTTCATGAATTTCTCTATGTAAGTGCCAGAATATGACAAGAGTTTTGTCTCTAAAATATTTTTAAATACATTTTTTTTAGATTGTTAGAATTAACATAAAATGGCCTTAAAATTTTGTAGCAAAAATATATGAAAAGCTAGAGGAAATACTGTCTTCAAATACAACAACAAAGGAGTAAGTTACTTTTTTTATCCTAACTGTTGTACAAGAAAACATGTCATAAACACAAATGTGTACAAAATTCTGACAAAAATTTAAAATACTATTAATAACATTCAGTGGGTTTCTCCCTACAAATTTCCACAAGAGTACTGTACTAAAACTACTGAATTTTTGTTTAGGAAAATAAACATATTACTTTGTAACTTTTTCAAAAAACAAATTTTTGTATAAAGTTAATACACTTTGTTACTTTAAAACACAGCTAACAAAATATTTTATAAAATATGACCTAGTTTTGACTATAGGCCTAACATCCTATTGTATGTTAGTTGAATACTTCTTTCATTACTGGAAATAAAACTATTTTTCAAAATATGTTAAAAAATGAATACACATTAGTTGATGAACAATACTGATATTCATAAAAAATAAAATAGAGAAATGTCTAAGCTTGCTAAATGGAATACTTATGTTAAACATTTTTCAAACATATTATTCATGCATGTTTCAAATTATGTTAAATGTTGTTAGAGACTGATACTTTGACTCAAAACAGGGGCAATCCAGAATAAGGAGGATGGGAGAATTCCAACTAGTCCTTTAGTAGCACAACTAATACTTTTATATTACTTTTACAAGCAAAGGTACCTGTTCCCAGTGATGGGAACAGTTTAAGATAATCTATCGATTTAAACTATTTTCTGGACTTTAAAAAAGGTTAATTGAGTCACACTCTTGGTTTCACTCAGAGCCAAAGCTCTGAGCTACTTTTACCACCCACCGCAAAAAGTAATTGTTGAGCATTTCAGTCACACTAAGAACTGCTAAACAATAACATATGGTGAATCTACATTTTTATTCTTTAATTTATGTCACATCTTGAAATGTGAATGATAGTATAATTAATTCCTCACAATTTAGTGTAGAATATCCTGCTTGCAGAATAAAATTTGGCATCAACATTATTCATGGCTGTTTTCCCCTCATTTCAAAAGTGAACATTGAGCTTTGCCTGCGGAGCTTTTCAAGCACAGCATGGAAAGAGACAGACAAATGTTTGGACAGACACCACGGTTCACAATGTATATAACATTGTTTACTTTACTTATAATTACACACTAATAGTTACTTTAGTAATAAAATTAATTAAAAAGCACACAAAAGGTAACAGGAGTAGTTCCATCGGTTGTAATCCAACAATTTCAAAGCTTATATCTATATTTCCAGTAATGTAATCAATATGAAAATAAAAACAGTTAAAAGAAAAACATTTCAAATTTTGTAATTAAAATTAAATAGTTATGATTATGTTTAGAAAATATACATAAAGACTCAAACCCAGTGTTTAGCTTTTGTAAACAGGATGCCCATTTTCGATTTTTTAAGTTGTCACTTATACAGTCATGACACTTGCATTTTTGATTATTTTGGACATCAACAATAAGAAAACATCTTTCTTGCAAGTATTCTAACTTCCAAACAAAGAAAAATCAATTCTATAACATGTTTATAAGAGCTGCAGATATTCTAAGTAATACTAACATTGATGAAAAATCTTTAAAATCTAGACACATTGTTAAAGTGAACAGAAAAAGATCAGACACTAAACTTTACCATAGCAACACTTAATTTATATTCACAATGTTGTGTTAATATAGAAATAATCAGTTACTGGTTGAGGCTGTAACTGGACTGCCATATACATTAGCTGTTCTGACTTAAAAAAAAACTGAAAAAAAAATACAGTAATTAATAGACCAATAAAATAAAAACACTCACATCTAATATTTCTTTTTCATACTATATTGTAGTATAAGGACTTTTGGCTGATTTTTTATTAATTTCTAAAAAAAACAGATGGGGGTTTGAACCCCCTAATTCTGAAGCCTACTTATAAAACATTAAATAATAAAGTTATACATTTCTGAAAACAATAGTTGAAGGGGTGGGGTAGGTGGTTTAGACCTAATGGACCCCCTTCTCATAAATCCATGTCTGCTTATAATACATTAAAGAATACTGTTATTAAATCCTTTAAAAAAAATGGAGGTGGGACACAGACCCTCTAGATCTGCACCTACTTATACAAAATTAAATAATAGTTATTAATTTCTGAAAAAAATGGGTGAGGGTTTGCTTCCTTGAACACCTTCCCTAGATCTATGCCTGTTCATAGAAAATTAAATAATACAATTACACAATTATATATTAGAAACATAACATAATAAAAAAAAATCAGTACATTTACACTTTATTTAACACTCAAGTAGCCAGAGGGTTGGCTGTGGGTGCTGCCAGCTAGTTGACTTCCCTCTAGTCAGCAGTTCAAAATTAGTGCCAATAACAGATAACCTTGCTAGCTTTACAATAACAAAGACAGGAAGAACAAATTTATCTCAAAGCATCCCCCCCCAAACTTACCCATCATGTAGCTTTGTGCTTAACAAACAAACACAATGGTAATATTTTGATTATATGAATAGTTGAAAAAATCAAAAACAGTAAATAATCAGAAACCTTAATCTCAATTAGTTGATCATTTTCATGAAAATCAAATCAATCATCCTTTCAATTAATCAACTGTTTCAATAATCAAAAACTGGAACAACTGATTTTGATCAGTTGATTATTTTCATGCCAATAAATTTAATCATAGGTCAATTATTCAACTGTTGAAATAAAAAACTAATTTTGATTAGTTGATTATTCTTGTGACATTAATCAGTTAATCATACTTTGATTAATCAATTAGTTTATGAGACACTGACTGATGTAATAACTTCTCACAGGTATTTGATTATATCAGTTAACCCGTTAAATCACCCAGCTCTACACATGGTTAGTTGATGTTGCTACATATATTATAAGTAAAGAACATGAAAGTGATCAACGGCTGTCCATTTTCAGGATAACATAAACTAAAAGGTTTAAAAGCAGTTATTAATACAAAAATAGTTAACTCAACATAAAAAAATATAATGGAAAAAAAGGTATGTAGAACATTCTACCTTATTAACTTAACTTGAGAAATACAAAAAATAAAGAAAATACACTATCCTTTTGTAAACTGAAATAAAAAATAACAATTTATCCAATTGCTAATTTAACTTGGTCACAAATATAATTAAGGAAAAATTAATAACAAGTATTCTAACCTATTGTTAGCTTAAAAAATACATAAAAAGAATACAGACAGAACACCTGCATGAAGCATATACTTACAGATTCTGGTAAAGTTAAGTAAATAATTCTGTACTTTTCCAAAATAACAACACCTTCTTCCCAATTGATTTGTGAATCGTCTGGTTCTTCCAGCCTTCAGAAATATACTGTTATATACCATCAACCTAATACTTTCTAAGCTATTATTCAGGGTTCAAAGTAATAAAGCTATGCATAACATTACAATGTGTGATTCAGTCTATTTCAGATGTAGCTTATCATTCACTTCAAATCAAGGTAAAACTTAAAATGTTTAGTTTATACTACTTATATTTCTAGGAATTTAGTTAATAATTTTTTTGATCCTTTGAAGAAAACATTGTTCAAGGAAATTACTTTCAATAAAAAATAGATTGTAAAATCTATGTGTGATAAAAACAACAAAATAAGTTAATATATATAGTAGTCTTTGGATACATTAGGTTAGAAAAGATAACAAAACTTTTCTGAATAATTAAAACAATACAAGTAAATGTAATAAAAAATTCAAACAATGGAACTAAAAAAACTGAAATAAAATAAAACAAAAAAATGTATTAAATCAGAAAATTGAAGAGCCGTGGTTTAATTTCGGTTATTTTTAACAGCAAAAGTGATTAACAGAACAACATGATCTTCTTCCTTTTGTAAACCTGAAAATGGTGTAACAAGATTACAAAATGCAGGTCTTCAGTGCTTTATCCCACACTATTCATGCAGAAGGTAACATCTAGTTCACAATTCACAGGCATACCTTGCAAGCCTTCACTTTTAAAAATTGTTGATTAGGTGACTGCAATATTATCAATTTTGACTGAAATCACGAGACTAGCCTCTTATGACCAAATTGTGAATTGCAGGTAAATTTAATACATAGTTTTAAAAACTTCTTTCAGCAACAACAATAGCAACATACGGTTAAACATAAGTTCAATCATCCCCACATTAGATAAATGTCACAGTGTATATTGAAATGTTTGTAGTCAAGAGCCATAGTATAGGATGTAGTGACAGAAAGAAAACTTTGACATTCCACACAATTACAGTCCATTAATGCCTGAGCCATAACCATCTCTTAGCAGCAACTGTAAATTATTTTAGTGGTATCTCTGGTATTATAAAGGAAATCCCAGTTTCCAAACTATGATGCAGAGGATACTCATTCAGCTAAATGGAATTTTAATGGAAAGATAATCAAAACGAGTATCTACCTTCATCTTCTGACCCTTCTTTGCTTCTGTCTGTAAATACTAGTTGCACTCATGTTAATATGAGAGGTCTTAAAATACTTTGGTCACTGTAAACCCTTTAATAAATTTTTTGTTGTTAGAAGTTTTTCTTTCTGTTTTTAACAACTAACAGCTTTGAACTTGACATATTGATAACTTACTTCTAATTCTCAACACTTTCAAATCTTACACACATACACACTTTACATTAACAATCAAACACCCAAAAGTTGTAATTTTCTTATACTGGAAATGTATTTCCAAAAGTACTTACCTCCTCTCACATAAATAGTTATTCTCATTCAGTGCTGCCCTCTATATGCAAAACATTTTTTCACATGACACAAGCCTTGATTCCCACATACCCTATGATCAACACGGTTCAACTGCATCTCTCATGTAAAGTATCATGTGACAAACTTCCACCAATAAGAGTGCAACACACCCTCCAAACAAACTACCAAACTATCATTTTGAGTTTTGGCAGAAAATGGAAGCACCAGTTTTCAGTGGGGAGGAAGGGTGGGAAGTGTGAAAGGAAGTAAGTACCTATCAGAAATATATTTTCAGTATAGAAAAATTATAACTTCTGATACTGTACCTGACCTCCTCTCACGTAAATAGCTAGCATCCCATACTGAATAGGTGGAAAGACCAGTGCAAAGGAAAGAAAGAAGTCTTCTTTGAAATCATCCGAAGAACACTCTAAAAGAGGAGATCCTCATATTAGAGGATCATAAGTGGGAGACCACACCACTTCTGTACCAGATATACTTTTCGCCCCATGTGGAAAGAGGTAATGCAAACATGGGAGGAGCACATCCAAAAGGGAGAGAACAATGATTGGATAGGGATACGAACCACGCAACTTCTGAATCTCAATCCCATAGATTACATTGTTGTGGGTGAGAGGAAAAAGGATGTGCCCTTAAGTGTAGAGTGGCTAGGGTGTGAAGGACTGTACCTGGCAAGTCAACTGCAATTCAAAACCCAGCCATCTGGTGGGGGTAGGAAAGAGGACCATACCATCTTCACCTCAAGTTCAGCAGACCTGAGGGAAATATTATACCCACCGACCTGTGAAAAGAACACATGATAGCAAAGTGAGAACATGTTTGACTGAATAAAGATGTTTCCATATTGTAAGATAACCCACTAAAAACCAATCAGGCAGAAACCACCCCCAGTGCAATAAAATACCCGGTATTAAATTAAAATCATTGAGGGATAGCATAAGAGGAAGAATCATAGTAACCTGCAAGTTCCTTCACCATGACCCACAATGGCATGAGTGAACAAAAGTGCAACTGAATGAGAGAACAGAGACATCTGTAATACATGTATGCGGACTTATTTTGATTTGTCCAGCTCTGAATCCAAAACCCAGCCACTGGCAACAGACATCTATGTGGAGGTAGGATGAGGGATCCCAAATAAAGGGGGTTAACCGTAATTTTGATGGCTTATTCCAAAGCTACAACATCCCCTCAACAAGTAGACCCATACACAGATGGAGCATCAGAAGGGAGGACATCTTGTCATTTACACCAGCAGAACACCATTGGCCTAATCTCAACTGAATGGTTTCGTTATTGATTGTATTGTATATCACTATCTCATTCAGAAGAATTCCTTTATGGTCCACCACCCCACACCATCACAGTCTCACTGAAGTCTGACAAATGGCCACAGGTGGAAGACGATAACCCGATGATTAAGAAACAGCAATCTGTTGCAGATAGTGAGAGATGAATATGGTATGGTCCACATGCTTGATTGATGAATTTCTTCTAAGGGATGGCAGAGATGAGATGCCAGTGAAAAGGTAAGGTGCCTAACCTGAGGAGAAGACATCTGAAACAAATTACAGGAAGAAGGAAACAAGAAAGTATAAACCAACCGAATTAAAGGCCGAACTTTAAAGGCAGGAGAAAGGTCACAAACAGAGGACATTTGCCACAGAATGAAGAGGTGGGAATGGGCACCATGGAAGGAGGCCATGTGTGCAACATAACAATGAAGATCACATATGGGACATATTAGCTTATCAGTACCGAATTAAGAATATGGGTAGGAAATGGAAGGAAGGGAAATTTGTGAGATAGAGGAGTTACCCTCTTAAGCCACCAAAGTTTTAGGAAGGAAAGATCGATCTGGATAAAGGAGAACATACGTGGTATGATATAGGATATGTTAAATGTTGAGGGCAAATAAATCTGACCGACAATGTCCACAGGCCAATAGGAGAAGGAAATAAGTCTTAAAAGATAAGCGAAAAATTGAATATGAGGACAAAGGTTCAAACAGAAGCAAAGTAAGGCAGTGAAGAATTACACTGACATCCCAATTCGAAAGGTCAACGCACTGAGGAGAACAATGAATCTGGAAGGAACACAACAACAGGGAGAGGGTAGGTGAGGTAAAAACTTTACGGTACCTGGAAAAACAGAGTGTGGGATGAGCAGGAGAAAATCCCTGACCCAAAGACAGAAAACATTCCACTTAGAATGATAAACATTCATAGAGGCAGGCTGAAGAGAACAAGCTAAAAATGAAGCGACTCAACAGGACAATCAGGATATCCTCACCAAGGACCAGGTAAAAACCAGGCATGAAGATGGAGGTTATAAAGGACTGGATGAAACACCAGTGAGCAAGGTTGATGTAGAAGGGATGGAGTAAGAGGAAGATATAATGGTAAGGCAGATTGGAGCTGGAGCAGCCATGGAAACCATGGTTGTGCTGGCCAGTAAGGAGCAATTAGAAGGACTTGATATGGAGTGGCATGGATGATCAAAATCACCCTAAGAAGAAGATAGATGGGAGGATACACATAAAGGTATTTTTTGGTGAAATCTTGACCAAAACATAGGTAATCTGGTATTGATGGATGTGGCAAATTCATCTAGGTGAAGATTGAGAGACCAATCCATTGGATAAACTTTGTTGGGACAGGAATGACAATCTGCGACAAAATTGAATGCACCTGGAACATGGCACACAAGGAGCAAATACCAAGCGTTTGGGCCCAAAACATGAGATCCAAGGTTCGACCAGAAAGGGAACAAGAACAGGTGCCACCCTGGTGATTGACATAAGCCATCACTGTAGAATTGTTGGAATGGATTACTGGAAAGATGATGAAAATGATCCATAGCACAAAGTATGGCCAGAAGCTTCTTGCTGATCGACCCACGCCCCCCAGCCCTGGAAGGAAGTGTCCATGAAGGTATGCAAATCCAGAAAAGAGAGAGGAAGCGGAACACCCACCGACTTGTGAGCCCTGGCCATCCACCAATGCAGATCATCAACAAGGGAAGGAGGAAGGAAAATAGGAGCCTATAATGGATCCTGCACAAGATTCCTCTGGTCCTGCAAAGCCCACTGAAGAGACTTCACATGCACTCGACCCAAGGAGATAAGGGCTTCCATAGAAGATCACATCCCCAAAAGCAATAGAACCTCATGAACAGTAAGAGGGAGCAGCAAGAGCGTGGAGAACTGAAAGCTCCATCTAATGAAGTCAAAGAGGAGAAGATTGGATCTGACTGAGGTGAGTGTTGAAAAAGACACCCAAGTGGACAAGATATTGGGTGGGTAAAGGGAATGACTTCTCCAACTTTATTAACCAAGCCACATGAGCTGCTTCCAGAAGCAATAGATGAGTGTGATGGGCAGACTTCCATTTGGAACAAGCTAACAGAAGCCAGTTGCCTATGTAATGGTGTAAATGCAACTCCTGAGCATGCATATGTTGGGCAAAAGCCTTAACTACTCTACAAAAGACACACCGGGCTGAAGCAAGCTTATGAGGAACAAACCGAAGATAACACCACAACAGATTAGATATTGGAATGTGCAGATAAGCATTTGCAATGCCTATCTT